AGCAGGGGAAAACACTCAAGTGGCGGAGCCAGAGGCCTGCGACACTTAGAGCAGCGGAAAAACACTCAAGTAGCAGGTAGGCCGGTAACGCACCCAGTAGCAGGAGATGTGCCGGGTACTCGAGGCCGAGCAGAAGAAGACAAAGTTGGCATTTTTAGAGGCCCAGTAGCGGTAGGTAGGTCTACGGCGGTACTAGTCCATCCAGTCTGAGTCTAGAGCCTGTACGGGCAATATCAGAGTCTGCAATGATTTTTCCCTCCGAAAGGGAGGAGGTACCGGTTGCTTGGGAGGCCGGGCGGCCTGGAAGTCACCGCCCAGGAGGCAAGTAGGCCGCTATATCAAGAGGTTGAGGGAAGAGCCCGACCTCATTCTTCAGTGTGCAAGTTTGGTGACATGCTGTTGGAGCGCTGGCTGGAGGAGCGCTGGCTACTACAGCTCTGCTGGGAGGAAGAAGCCGGGAGCATGAGTCGGGTGGTGGGTTCGGTGGGTTTTGGGGTGGTGGTCGGGGGTGTTTTTAGACTCATGGTCCAAGTGGGGGGTTGTGCCCTAACAGCTATGACAATGTGTGTGCAGCACCTCCTGCTAGTTGGGGAGGTTCTGCAACAGTTGGCTTTGGAAATCGGCATGCTACTGTCTTCCCCCCACTCTAGACTGAAATCCTGCGGCGTACCTTGGTTGGTATGGCACGCAAGTGGCACTCATGAGGTCTTGGGTTCAATCCCCATTGGCCTCATGTACCTTCCTGGGCAAGCTTGGCGCCAGGCGCATAGGGAAAGACCGGAGGTGAGGCACGTCCTTTTTTCCCCGAGCTGTGGAGGTGTGGCGGAGGAGCGGGGAGAGTGAAGAAGCGGGGGAAGAGGGCGGAGGAGGGCGGCAGGAGCAGAGAAGTCGTGGGGGATGAGCCCGTAGTTAGTTTGGGGTCTCTCTCTCTCTCTCTCTCTCTCTCTCTCTCTCTCTCTCTCTCTCTCTCTCTCTCTCTCACGCGCGCGCGCTCCCTCTACTGCGCGCTGTTTTTCCGTGTTTTTTTTATTATAATAAAGATCTCCCAATGGTCCACGGGTCAGATATCAAACTGATCGGAACAGACAGTACACTTGATCGTCATCATCGTCGTCGTTTTGGGGGGCGGGATAGTTAGCTAGTTTGGGGTGTGTCTCTCTCTCTCTTTCTCTCTCTGGTGCACTCGCACGTGCGTGCGCCGTTTTTCAAACTGATTGGAACAGATACTACACTTGATCGTCATCGTCGCCGTCGTGCAGCAGAGGAGTCGTCGTGCAGCAGAGGAGCGGAGAGTGGCACACACTTGATCGTCATCGTCGTCATCGTTTTGGGGGACGAGGTAGTTAGTTTAGGGTATCTCTCTCTCTCTCTCTCCCTCTCTCTCTCTCTCTCTCTCTGTGTGTGTGTGTGTGTGTGTGTGTGTGTGTGTGTGTGTGTGTGTGTTGCTCTGTTGCGCGCGCACGCGAGCTGTTTTTTCGTGTTTTTTTTTTTTTTTAAAGATCTCCCAATGGTTTACAGGTCAGATGTCAAACTGATCGGAACAAATACTACACTTGATCGTCATTGTCGTCGTCGTTTTGGGGGCCCGGGTAGTTAGTGAGTTTGGGGTCTCTTTCTCTCTCTCTCTCTCTCTCTCTCTTGGAGCGGAGAGTGGCAGACACTTCATCATCATCGTCGTCGTTGTTTGGGGGACGGGGTAGTTAGTTTGGGGTCTCTCTCTCTCTCTCTCTCTCTCTCTCTCTCTCTCTCTCTCTCTGTGTGTGTGTGTGTGTGTGTGTGTGTGTGTGTGTGTGTGTGTGTGTGTGTGTGTGCGATGCTCTGCTGCGTGCGCACGCGTGCTGTTTTTTCGTGTTTTTTTGTTTCTTTTAAAGATCTCCCAATGGTTTACAGGTCGAATGTCAAACTGATCGGAACAGATACTACACTTGATCGTCATCACCGTAGTCGTTTTGGGGGCCGGGGTAGTTAGTGAGTTTGGGATGTCTCTCTCTCTCTCTCTCTCTCTCTCTCTCTCTCTCTCTCTCTCTCTCTCTCTCTCTCTCTCTCTCTCTGTGTATGTGTGT